ATCAATCGTAGACAAATTACAATGAGTGCTTATTAACTATGTATTATATATTATATTAAGGATCATTGAAGTGCAGACTAAATCTTTTGATAAACCCTAGCTTGTTAGTTGCTTTATATATAATGTTATTGTAGGTAGTGATCAAAAAATGATAACTTATAGTCGAGAATAATGCCTAAGTCCCTTACTTGATTACACCTTTCAACTGTTTTCTCACCAAGAAAAATTGTGTCATTTACTGTGGTATGCTTTCTTGTAAACGATATAGAATTACATTTACTAACGTTAAGCTCTAACAAATTCTTCTTACAGCAAGTGTAAAAAATGTCAACTTCTTGCTGAAATAGCTGCAGATCAGATGCTTTAGATATTTCCATGAAAAGTTTTAAGTCGAAGCTCTTTATAGCGACATCGCAGGGGACTGTCGTTATAGAGAACTGTCGTTATAAAAGATAGTCATTTTATAGAATTTCAATGTCGTTATAGAGAGGTATAGAGGTATGAAACAATCAAAGTATATTTTTAGATGATTCCAATCGATTTTTAACAATACAATACATATCGTTTAAGATTATACCAAATCAAATGTCAATTCATTCTTCCCCTAGAACCTGTTTTTTTAATTCAAAAAATTTGCTGAAACTGTCTTTTGGCAGATCTTCCGTAGTTAATAAACCAGCATATATTGTTTAGAAAGCATCTGAAAGTTGATTCTTAGAAGACGCGCTGGTTAATTCATTGTCAACAGTTTCATCAGTCAATGAGTGGTTTTGATCATCGATACTGCTGCTATATGACTGATCATGAACAATTCGGACTATGTCATCGTCAGTCAAAAGTTCTCCTTCACAAAGGTCGTCGTCAAAAGTCACGTAGTCTGGAGTACACAAATTTCATAAATAATATCATTGAAACATTAACTATATGTTTATACCTCCAAATGAATCAAAACCTTTCTCAGTGAGCATTTCAAATTTTGATTGAAATAAAATTTCTTCAGTAATATCAGTTTCAATCCTACTCTCATTAATACATATTAAATGGTTTGGTTTGACAAACCCAGCTTTAAAGAAGCAATTAACAATTGTGGATTGTTTAACGTTGTTATGCCATGCATCAGCTATCATGTTAATGCACTGTAGTAAATAAATTTTCAGTGATTCACCATTTTCAATAGCATTCAGTTGATATTTCAATAGCTTGTTGCGGTAGTGCACTTTCAAAGACTTGATTATGCCAAGATCAATTGGTTGGAGCACAGAGGTCATATTTGAAAGAAAATATGCCAATTTGATGTTGCTCAACTTTTGCTGAATGTTTGGATGGCTGGGACAGTTATCGATAAACAAAAGTATTCGCCTTCCTTCAATCATCATTCTTTCATCAAGTTTAAGCACCCATTCTTCAAACATGAAGCTTACCATCCATGCTTTTTTGTTGCTTCTATTGGTGACTGGCAGGCTCTTGATATGTTTAAAGCATCTAGGTTTAGCACTTTTACCAATGATCAGAAGCTCCAACTTTTCTGATCCGTCCATATTTGTGGCAACAGCAACCGTAATTCACTCGTTAGAGTATTTTCCCCCATGACATTTATCACTTTTGAAACAGTATGTTTTATTGGGTAAGCATTTGAAAAATAGACCCGTCTTATCCATATTAAACACATATTGTGGACTGTAGACAGCATTCAACAGTGGCAACGTATCGGATATGAATCACCCAGCGTCAACAACATTTACAGCTCCACTTTCTCCACTAGCAATTTTGAACGACAATCCATTCCTCTTAACCAATTTTTGAAGTCATCCGTCGCTCGCTTGAAAAGAATCGTGTTTCATTTTCTTTGCCAGTTCATTTGCTTTTTCTTTTATAATCACGCCAGATATCGGAATTTTGTACGAAATCGCTTGCTGGCAAAATAACTTCAGAGCTTTTTCTAATGGAACACACTGAACCGAGCGAGTTTTTTTTGTGTTGCAGTGAATACAAACGGGCCTGTAATGAAAAATTAGGTAAGATAGACTTTATAGCACTTTCAATCAATATTCTTAACTTTTGCTGAATCTGTTCTTTATTTTTTATGATGAAATAGTATTGTGTGGCACTTTGAATTCTTCGGATAATGTTTTATTTTTAACACCATTTTAGAATTTTTCGTTTATGTCCAGTTTATTCTGTAATGTTGATGCTATTCTAGTTTTTGAATTCATTTTCGACCGTGAACTGAAAGCGAAAGCAATGCACTTTTACTTGACACGAACTTTAATGCATCTATTTTTTAACAAAAACACGTAAGTTAACCACTACGCGAAAATCTCGTTCAGGTGGTCAAAATTCACGTCAGAGAAAACTACGACCAAAAAAACATCTTTTACTAAACCTTCAAATTTAATTATGTCTACGGCTATAAAACCACTGTGAGATGTAAATAGTACCATCATGATACTGAAAAATGTTGCAATAGAAAATGACAAGTATGGGTAAAAAACAACGATGGTGTGTCGTTATGGAGAAAGGTCGTTATAGCGAAATGTCGATTCCTATGAGAATTTGAAGGGACCTGTGGAAATGTCGTTATAGAGAGATTTGTCGCTATACAGATGGTCGTTATAAGGAGCTTCTACTGTATGTCATCTGCATATATTGAAACATGAACCAGCTTCAAAATGTATTCTATATCATTGATAAATAAGATGAATAGTAGTGAACCAAGATGCGAACCTTGAGGCACACCAGATGTTACATGAACGACAGACGACAATTTTCCTTCAAATCTTACTCTTTACGTTCTCCTTGACAAGTATGACTCGATCCACTGCATTAGCCTGGTATTAAAACCTAACTTGGATAGCTTGAAAATCAACAGTGGTATATCCACTCTATCGAACGCTTTACTAACATCAGTATATAATGTTACATACATTACATTTAAAGCATATGTTACAAAATGTATCAAATTTGTAGCTGTAGATCAATCCGAGAAACTTCACTCAAGTCCTCAACTCAATTGGATGCAATACTAGAACGTTATTATTTTTTTCCTGCTAGATTTAGCCCACTGTGCATCGCAAAGAGCGTAGATGAACAGAGAGAGAGATAGCTGGAGCAGAAGACTGGTGTCTGGTTTTAAGTCGGGACAGGGGTAATGAGGAGAAATCAATCCGTTATGCTAATGATGGTGCTCCGGTCTAAAGCGATAGATCGCCCGCCTGACGGGTAGGGTGGGCCTTAAATCCAACTTGTTTAAGCTTTGACGTTTGAATAGCCTTTTATGGTCCCGTTCACATATTAAATAAATAAAAAAAAAAAGATTTTTAAATGATCACGCATTCTTCCAACAGGAAGGAATCGAGGCCAAGATTGGCCATCTTGGAAATCATCGTAATGATGAAGATTTCAAAATTTTACACCGCGAGGAATGGGAGTGAATTCGTAAAATGCATCTATTTCTCAAACAAAGCTTTTATTTTTTCATTGATTCTATTTTGAACCCATTCAATAGTTAATCGAATCCATCACAGGTGTTGATGTTTTTTGACATTTCTAGAAATAGTAGTAGTAGTAATATTACATTTATTTCCATTGATTAATATGTTACATTTATGATTTAGCCTGATGGGCTCTTCGTCTTTGGATTTAGATTTTAATTATTTAATATACATTTTTAGATCATAAAATAGTTTACATATTTGGGCATATTTTGATTGAGTACCCCAACTTAAGCTAACGTGCCAAATTTGAAACTATTGTTTGGTCTAACCGGAGACAGGAGTCTCGGAACCTCTCCAGAAATAACATTCTCCGTTCGTCCAGTCAGGTGGCATTTAGCACAACTCTCCCATATTGGTATACCAAACTCTATTGCGGGTAGGATTATTTGTTTGTATACATAATTCTTGTTTTTCAGGGACAGGGGTAACCGGGAGCAGTTATCTTATCAAGATGTTGCACTTGGTGTTTTTTTTTCAGCGTTTATATGACTTTTGTGTTTTGAAGATATGTACCATTTCATCGTAGCATCACCATGAAATTATGAAAGATTCCCTTATTCTTGTTTTCGTTCGAACCGTTATTTCCATACAAAAAAAAAACTTTTCTTTTTAAAAATACGGTTCGAACTAAAACAAGAATATGTGTGAATAAAGGCCCTTTATGGATACACAGAAACGATTCCTGTAATCTTGAGCGCTTTATCTCGAGAGATTATTGATTTGTAAAGCTGTATTTTACTGTTAAATCGATTTTCAATCGATGATGGCTGGGTACGTGATCCCACGATTTAGAATTTTCTGGGAAAACAACCAACAATTTTTCACAAATTCTTTTAAAGATTCACCTGAACTTGGACCTTTGAACTGACTTATTGATACTAGTACATAGCAACCAATCAACTAGGAAGTATATATTTTCAGTATCCGCGATTTACATCAATCATTATCAACAATCACGGCAGGTTTATCATCCCAATTCAGATGTCTGTTCTCCGCTGATAATTCTCGAAAAGTTCGGACAGACCTGACCGTTTTCCATTTCTGGATGCTCCAATGCTTCCAACCGACGCCACTTTTGATTTTCATCCATATCCTTCCCCACATAAATGTTTTTGAATATCTTTTTGATTAAATATTCCTGATCGCTGTATGCTCCCTGCCCTGGTACAAAAACTATTAATCTAATAATTATTTATTCCGAAATGACAATGGCAGGAAAAATGGGACAACGCGATTTATGCAAAAATCGAAGAATTACATATGTTCCACCTGACGGAAATGTGACTTTTATAAATTCCATTTTCCTAATTCCCATTGTCGTGAAAATCGAAACCAATAACCCGTTCCTTGCAAAACGATCCCTTGAAGATGTAATGTCTGCAAATACAGTTATAGCCGATCGGAAGGTATATCTTGTGTTGTCCACATGGATTTTTAAGCAGAATGAAAACATTTTTCTTTTTTTTTTTGTAAACACACTAACACAATTCCAAGCTACAAACTTACTTCATTCATTCATCCGCTGCAAATGCAACTCGGCTTCAATAATCTACTCGCCTACTTTATGACAGCCAGCAAAGAACGATGAGTCGAGCTTCGCAAGCGGCAGCAGTCGGTGGTTGTTGTTGTTTACTGTTTATTATTATTGTGGTGTGTTGGTAAAGTAGTGGTTGACAGGTGAGTCGCCGTGACACACACCAGCGCGTGTGCAGCGCCCAAAAACCTTCGCACGATCTTCAGCTCCGGAATCGCAACGGTGTGCGTTTGGAGAAATAACTTTACACCTCACAGCTCCGACTGGAAAACATTCTTCTTTCTATTCTTCCGCTTGCTTGAAATCAGCACAGATCGTGTTTTCTATTTTTCACCATTAAAATGCACCGAATTTCATTTGATTTTCTCACAATTCAACGCCCTTCCATTGCAGCTTGCCGTCAAATGACGACAAAAGCACTTTCGAACGAGTTTCAAACGATTTTTTTCGCAAAATCAATCCGACAGACGACACGACGACGACTAACACGACGAAGACGACCGCAGCAACAGCGCTGACTGTCACTCCTGTTCGACTTTTGCACCACGAATGAGAGAATGTAGCATAGCGAACTGCTGGCAGGCCAAGTCCAAATCGAAACAGAGGCACGGCTTGAATGAACTCGCACACACCTGTATGAATGGATAGGGAATTCAAAGATGAATGTCCACAGGGGATTGGGATTTTAGTAATCAGCAAGAAGTATAGAGTATAATATTACTAAATTAATTGAGTTAATCATTTTTTTTATTAACGAAAAGAGATAGGATCTGACAATGATTGAAAGTTCTCTCAATGTTTTGAAACATAAACTAATTACAAATTCAAAAGGAAATATAAATGACGACCACCTATGAACATTTATCTTGAGAAAATCCATGCCCAAATTGCTCAACTCTCTCCGATGAACGATGATGCATGATTGCGAATTCAACGCAACGTTTGGGTGGATTGGTGAGGCAAAGGGCACGTGTTTGTAAAAGTTCATTCCTTGGCTCCGTTCATTCCTTCGAACGTTTATTCATAAAAAGTAGTCATCCTGGGCTGCCTGAATTTAGGCGTCGTAAATACCTTATAGATCAGACTACAGAGTTATAACGGTTGTAAAATAATTGCAACACAGAACCACCATGAAGATACCAAAATAACATGTTATAACTCAGTAGCCTGAACAAGGCATTAGACATTACTCTCGTAACCACTTCGAACTTTAAAAAGCACAAAAATCAGCTTCTACGATACGGACCACAATGAAACGCCTACTCCACGTTTGCATCATGTGCGAAGTAGCAATTTCAGGTGAAATGGGGAATTAATTTTCGAGATGTGTGTAATTGAAAATTCGAAGTGGAAGTGTATGTATAGCCTACGTGGTGGCCATCTTTGGACTCTACAAGGAATCACCTTAATAGAGAAATGTATTGTTCATCAAAGTCCATAATGTATCCATAGCTTTGCGAATTTATATATTTACCTACATCGATCTTTAAGATCTACGAATTATCAAGATTTTTCAAAACTCAATAGATCACTAGACTATTAGATGCTTAAGGAACTTCATTCAGAGAAGTTAAGTAGACTCAGATCTTTAAGTATTTTCTGATTAAATGACCTCCATTTGACACATGGTCTTTAAATATTTAAATAAATTAGCTTGATTGGTTGAAACTGATGAAAAAATGAGGTTGCCACTTTCCTTAGCTCAAATTAATAGACCCCTCACTCGCCAAGGGGCCCTACAGTTTTGAAAAAAGTTGAATTTCTAACAATTCTTGACATATTTATCACGTTAAATCTTTGGAACCCCCTGCAAACAACACGTTATAATGAAGAGGAAGGATTTCATTCGAAATTGAAATTTTATGGCGGCCATCTTGGATTTTGCCGACATATTGGACTTCATCAGAAAAACGTATTTTTCACTATGTTAGCAACCACCGATTTTGATTCTGAAAGCTGAGCAAAAACACCATGAAACAATTTTTTTTTTCTATATTGAGGTTCTCAATTTTTCGCGCGTGACGCATTGAATATCCGCCACTTGCATGGTTAGCAAATAAAAGTGCATTACTTTTATACACGACCAATAAGAGTAACTCAAAATTAAGTCGAATTAGACTCCAAATTGCGAAAAGTGGTCTTGCTCAATAAGCGAATAAAATTTTCCTCGATTATTCTCAAACATTTGCTCGAATATTAGCAAAGTCGATGAAAATTTGGCACAGTTCATGAGTATATATTATAAATTTATATATAATTTTATTTGTTTTACTTTACCCTCTGAATATTATTGTTAGCTCAATTTGCACAAACTCGTAGGTGGGTTGAGTCCTAGCTTATTGTACAAGTGATGTTGACGTCCGTCTGATACAGCATAGACAGAAATTTAAACGTCAAAGCATCGCCAGCGTAAAACTAACGATTTTAGATAGGCTCACTACTTGACTAGCCTATTGGTCCCAAGTACATCTATAAGCGTACTCCCATAGAGGTAACTCTAAGACCACTGGGTCCCGAAGAAAATCATTATTATTTTTGGCTCACTCAGTACCAGAACAACGGTCCCAAGCAGTCCCAAGCTATTTCACTCACCCCTGCATGTTCTGCATGAATCCACACACCCCTGATGTTATCTGTCAAACTTTCATAGCGAATCAAAACAAACATAGTGTAGTAATAGAATTTCAACTAGAATAGGATACGTTAATCGTTTGCTTGGGACCAATAGGCTACTAAAGTGGTGAGCCAATTTAAAATCGTTAGTTTCGTATTGATTGTTGGTACTCCATTCGAGTCGAATTTCTAGTACTACACTATGTTTGTTTTGATTCACTATGAAAGTTTGACAGATAAAATGAGGGGCTCGAAGATTTTCCTATGTTTCGAGGGGCGCATCGATTAGCTTGGGACCGAAGAGAGTACCAGAGCTGAGCCAAAAAGTTGATCACGTTTCTGGTCTTAGACCTCTATGCTCGCCTCTATGGTAATACGAACATGAACATGGGCGTTGCAAGAAAAAATCTTGGAGGAGCTGTGGGGGGGAGGGGAGGCTGGCTCAGTTTTGCTACAAAAATAAAATTCGTAATAAGTTGTGTACTTTCCTTTTATATATATTTCACCATTTTTTTTTCAATAATTCATAAATTCGGGGTTGTCCTGCATATATCTGGAGGGGGATTAGCCCCCTCGGCACTCTCTTTAGCTTTGATAATGGATATGAACATGTGATTTAAGTGCAATGAATAAATGAATGCTGAAATTATCTACAGTATCCTCAGATTAATTTTCACTAATATCAACTAAAAATTATGGTATTCTAGCATCAACAAAACGTTGATTATCGGTCAGTTATTAAAATAACTAAATCAAACTACTGGGCAATCGGAGGGGCTACGCGACCAAACGTGCAGAAAACTGTCACCTGATTAAAGTTATAAAAACAATGCAACTGTGGTTCAAGATGGAAAGCTTTTATTGAGAAAAAACTATTGTTTGGGAGGGTTGGCTTATTTAAGCTACTACTATGGTGGATGTGGGTGTAAAATTGATAGTTTATCCTAGAAAAAAGCACCGGTACTGCGGATGATGATGGCTGATGCTGAAGATAGACGGCTTCGACGACGTTGAGCGAGCGCTCGCTGCTGTACGGTGAACTCACTGTGCTACAAGTTCTGCCCGATTCGGTGTGGCGATCGTGGTCAAAGTTGGCTGAGTGACGGTGTGAGGAAGCGGTTCCGTTGGCGCGTGAAACCACTGCTATTCCTCCCAGGCGTCTTTCCTCATAGGCTTACATCGGCAGAGCCCAGGCAAGGACGGAGTGACTCTGCCCAGAGGGGAACGTCTCCTTGGAGGTTAGGGAGGGTTCCCGAGACAAATTCCTTTAGCCGATTATTTTTGGTCTGGCTTGAGGAAGGCTAGCCCCATTACTTGTTGACCTAGAGGCCCCTACGGCCTGCTAAGGCTATGGCCAACCGGTGGAAACTAACGATTTTAAATTGGCTCACTACTTGACTAACCTATTGGTCCCAAGCAAATCGATTAACGAACGCCATTCTAGTCAAAATTCTAGTACTACACTATGTTTGTTTTGATTCACTATGAAAGTTTGACAGATAAAATGAGGGGCCCGTGGATTTTCCTATGTTTCGAGCCAAAAAGTTGAGCACGTTTCTTCGGGACCTACTAGTCTTAGAGTTACCTCTATGCTATGGCGGTGTCTACCAAAACGGTAACACAAAAAGTCCTGTGAGGGGATCGAATGGACGTTAGTTCAGCTATTAGGTTTAGCTTGGGCAGAGCACCAATTACGTGAATTGAGCAATGGTGCAGTAAATCGTCACATTCGAATTCAATATTACTACTCAATACTCATTATTTGAATATTTTAAGCACTTTAACTTTTCTACACCTTTCACACGTGAACGCCTGGATAGTTATGAGAAATGCGGGTCGTTCGTGGGTTATCAGACCTCTTTCCCTTTGCTTTTCCATCCCTCCATCCTATATCCCGATCCAAAACAAATCCTTTCTCCATTTTACCACCTGCATCTCCTTGGAGTAGTTGCACTTACAATCGCAGGGGAAGGCAGGGAAAGTTAATCCAATATCTACTTAAGAATGTGTAGGGAACCCATACTACCTTCATACATGTCACAGGATGGGATGAGTTGTGTTAGTGGGAGGGTGAATGATTAGGAAACTCAATTCGTCAATAAAGAGCATTTGATAAATCAACGTGACAGTACATTAAACAATTATGCATGAACTAAAAATTTTATAAATATTGTAACACCTAGAATTCATATTGTTGAACGAAAAATGGAACTGTATCCAACAGAAAAATAAAATATTAAATTGCCTTGACGCCTTTTGGCTGAACCAGAGTTTCTATTTAACCGAAGTTTAACAAAACACAAAATTGCCACAGGCCCACCCTAGCCCCCTGTCTGTCAAAGTCAGACTCGATTGGGCAGTGCCTATATTGTTTTCATTGACAGTGCTGGAACCTAAGAGAAAGAGGAGACAATACAGGGACCTTTCCCAACAAACAATTCAGATTCACAAATAAGCATATATATTGAATAAATGCTGTATAACAGGGTACAATGCTGAATAAAAGGAGTTGTCGAATTATGTGCTGAAAAAACTCATTGAGATCGTTAGATGCACATTTATTCCACTGTTTGCTCTGATCTGATTAATTTACTTATTAAAAGCTGTATAAGCGTTGACTGTCTTCCCAATCTAACGGCAGAAGTTTGATCTAATAACAAACTGAATAAGTGTAATTTGCACATACATTGACGCTTTAATTCGAATGTTTTCAATTGATTTATAAACATGCTTTATTAGGCGTCTAATAAATGATTTCTAGCTCCATTGCATTGCTTTACAATATTGCTGAATAAAGGTGAATGCAGTCAGCATAATAGCTCTTATACCGCTATTCGTCCATGTTGTAATCACATGATTTGTAAATGCTTTATAAACGACGTATTAGATTTATTATTCGACAACACTGGTTCAGTCTAACAACAAGACGAAATCATTAGAGTAGTGGTTACCGTTTTCGCTTCCCAAGTAGAAGGTCGTGAGTTCAATCCCAAGCTCAACCCTTTTTTTTATTTGTGTTCAACTTCTAATTAATTTAAATAGTAACCATCGATCACTTGACTCAGGACAATGAATGCATTGATCTAGTTTAAAATATAACCGAGCATCCTTTCTTCCGACTTGGAGAGGTGAAGAGGTAGCATTGGTCTCATTTAAAACAACGATGAATGAATTACCTAATCATTTTCTTGAAGGAGCCATAGTTGCGATCGGGAGTGCTGATAGGTATTTACTTTCAAGCAAGCTTTTATTGATTATTGAGTTGTTCATATGATGAATTCTAGGATAGCTCAGATGCAAAGGGAAATGTTTGATGGTGTTCTTTTTCTGCTAAATGATATTAAGTTGCATTTTTTTTACATTCAGTTCTAATAGGCTTTTTACACCATGTATAGAATATGTGTATTTCACTCTGGAATATATTGATGTCTTCATCATTTCATATTTTCAAAAAAGAGCTTCAGGTCGTCGGCATAGATTAGCATTTTTTTTTTGAGAATGAAGGAAATGTCGTTTACATACAGAATAAAAATAAGAGGTCCCAAATGAGAACCTTGGGGGACTCCTGAGGTGACTTGAATTGGGGTCGATTTCTTTCCATTGAATTTAATTATTTGTTGGCGGTTAGTTAAATATGAATCAAGCCATTTCAGGATTCCTGACTCAATTCAATTTGAAGAGTAGCATTGGTAAATATGTCACTTCGGCTAAATGCCTTGCTAAAGTCCGAATAGAGGGCTTCTACGTGGTTTCCATTATCCATTCCATTTAATGTATAGTCTATAAATTCAAGCAAATTTGTCAAGATCAAACGTCCTTTAAAGAACGTCAGCTTTCTGGCAAGATTAAAAAATTGGTACTAAAAATGAGCTTTTCATTATTTTTGGGAAGGTTCCGGATTCCAGTGACATATTAAAAAGCAAAAAAAAGCAGTGAGTTCCATTGCTAGACTTTTTAAAAATACTGGAGGAATTCCGTCAGGTCCAGAACTTTTTGAGGCGTCTAAATTCTTTGAAGGCTGCAAAATATCCTGCACTTGAAATTGATTGACGCCAATGTCCCTTGAAAATTCTGGATAAAAATGCAAAAATTCTGGATAAAAATGATCTTCATCGGAAAATGTATAGATCTCTTGAAAAAAAAAAATTGCAAGAAGACTATAATTTTTTCCGAGCTATCCCCGACAAGTTCGTCAAGATGCATTAGGGTAAACGCTCCTATAGTAGCGGTACGTTAGAAGCGTTAGGTTCCTAAAGTTGTGTATGGAGACTCAATACACAACTATAGGAACCTAACGCTTCTAACGTACAGCAACTAAAGGGTGATACGGTCAAAATTTGGTCAATATCAACTTGACGTATTTCTTTCAATTTTGCATTTAAAAAACCTGAACACCCCTCATTTTGAAGGTGTGTGTGTGTGTAGAATGTTGCTCCTATTTTGATTTTGGAATTCACTCTTCAGTTGTCAAAATGCCGTCCAAGCAAGAAGAGCAGCGTATCAAAATTTTGCTCGCGCATCGCGAAAATCCGAGCTACTCGCACGCAAAGTTGGCAAAATCACTAAAAGTTGCCAAATCAACCGTTACAAATGTAATTAAAGTGTTTGGGGAACGTTTGTCGACAGCCAGGAAGTCTGGATCGGGGGGAAATCGAAAACCGGAAGCCGCTGAGACGACAAAGAGAGTTGCCGGTAGTTTCAAGCGAAACCCTAACCTCTCTCTCCGAGATGCCGCAAATAAGCTGGGTGTATCGTCTACAACCGTGCATCGAGCCAAAAAACGAGCCGGACTATCGACTTACAAGAAGGTAGTGACTCCAAATCGCGATGATAAACAAAATACGACGGCCAAAGCGCGATCCCGGAGGCTGTACACGACGATGCTGACGAAGTTTGACTGCGTGGTAATGGACGACGAAACCTACGTCAAAGCCGACTACAAGCAGCTTCCGGGACAGGAGTTTTATACGGCAAAAGGAAGGGGAAAGGTAGCAGATGTTTTCAAGCACATGAAACTGTCAAAGTTCGCAAAGAAATATCTGGTTTGGCACGCCATCTGTACCTGTGGCTTGAAAAGCAGCATTTTCATAGCTTCCGGGACTGTCAATTTACGTGAAAGAGTGTTTGAATAAACGTCTGCTGCCTTTCCTGAAGAAACACGGTTGTTCCGTACTGTTTTGGCCGGATTTGGCATCTTGCCATTACGGTAAAAAGGCCATGGAGTGGTACGCCGCCAACAACGTGCAGGTGGTTCCCAAGGACAAGAACCCTCCCAACACGCCAGAGCTCCGCCCAATTGAGAAATACTGGGCTATTGTCAAGCGGAACCTAAAGAAGACCAAAAAAACTGCTAAAGGTGAGCAGCAGTTCAAGGCAAACTGGCTTTCTGCGGCGAAGAAGGTGGACAAGGTGGCTGTACAAAATCTGATGGCAGGGGTCAAGCGTAAGGCCCGGCAATTCGGATTTGGAAAAGCGGAAGCCTAACTGAATATTTTTCCTGAATTTTATACTAATTGAACTTGAAAAAGAAATTTAATTTGATTTTTTAAATAAACGATTTCACCGATTTACACGCGTTTTCCCTTGACCAAATTTTGACCGTATCACCCTTTATAGGAGCGTTTACCCTATTGATGTAAAATTGTCAGATTTTAATTTGCTTTTTACGTAATTGAAGAAGTTCTTTGGACAGGACTTTATTTCAAGTTCAGTTTTTGAATTAAATTCTTCAAATGCATTACTGATGGCTAAATCCAGGTGATCGCATATGTCCACGGCAGACACGAAGTTACTGCTACCAGTGTACATCAAAAAACTTGAAGCTCAAACTCACCACAGTTTGGTGAGAATTGTAGCTGGTGAGTTTTGTTAGCATGATATCAGAGCAACCGTATCACAGCTTTCAATATCATCCGCTGTTGTCTGCTTGTTGATTTTTGTTTGCGACACTCAAATGAGATTATTCTCATTGGTGAGATTTGATCTTTTGATATTTTCCTAACACTGGTTATGAGGACTCCGCCGCCAGACTTCTTCTGAGACGCATGAAAATTCCTGTCGTCTCTGAATACATTAAATGCACTTCCAAAAATTTCTTCACCTCGAACGCTTTCATCCCAGCTTGTTTCAGTTGCCAGAATTACCGAAAAGGATGAGCATAATAAATTTTTATATATTTCCTTTAAAGCCCTCTAGTAAAAGTATGGACGATTCTCACCATCCAATTTAAAAAAAGCTATTCCAATCGAACAATCTAGTGCATTTTTACAGTTTGATTGGAATAGCTTTTGGCTTATAGGTATAAACTGATAAAAGTTTACTTATAGTTTCCATTGGGAACGCAGGTGATATTTCTACCATATCAAAATTAATGATTTTTATCTGTGATTCACATAACAGTTCCATGTGATAATCCACATAAATTTCATTAAACAAATAAGGTTCATGTGATTTTGTGGTGGTATTTCCAATTATGAGATCACAAGAAAGTTATATGAAAATCTAATGGATATTTCATGAGTGTAGGTTTCCAATGCAGTGTAAATTCGCTCCTGTCTTATCCTGGACTTTCACTATGATAGACTAATAATGTAATAAGTGACTTACAAAGGATCAAAGTGTGAATGAGCAACTAATATAACATAATGAACTAATGTGACAACTGAACCAACATTCACAGTCATATACTAAAAAAAAACAATAACAACAAAACCAGAGCGAGAGCAAGTACGATTAGGGAGAGGATCAACTGCTGATAACAAAAATCTTGACTCATACGTTTGTTCACATTCATCGTATCTACATGGGTCGAGTGCATGGCTTTACGCTGTCAGCATGTGCGCGTATGTGGAATCAGTTTTTTTTGGCGGACCCACAGTCGCTGTACTATCTATCGCTCCGCACAGTTCAGTTCAACTTAGTCCACCGGTCAGTGAAGAGGTACGTTATCATTCCATTCTGGCTCCACATCAGTCGATTTAGTATTAAGTAACAATGCAAAGTTCTAAGCACCTATGGTGCAAGGCTTGAAAGTGTCTCCTAAAAATAATGGAATGCACTCCATTCCTTATGTATGCATTTTACATTTTCACGATTACCCTCGTGCAGAATGAGTACAATACTATTCAATACCACAATGTTTTTTTTAAAGCAAATTGTTCTGAATTTGGTGGGAGTTTGTGATCCCACGGTTAAAAAACGAGTGAAATAAAAATTCGCGTAAAAACAAAATCGAGTTCGAGTGTATTAATTAGTGCTGTGTACATTATAAATCAATTAGAAATTCAAACAGTCGTGGGAAACTGGGCAGCTGAGTTGATGATGTTGATGCCGCATGAGCCGAACAGAAGTGGAACCAAATAGTATGGTGTGTCTTTTTTCGGAACGATTGATGTGCTTTGGCAAATGTGTGTTCAATCGATACCAATATTGTTTTTTTTTTTTGGATTAAGGTGAAAGTTCAAAATCCTTCTGCGTGACAAGCATAATAAAAATGAAGCAGTTCTAGTCTTACGTCCAGGAAAAGCAGGGTCAATCAACTCCAATAACTAAAATGTAGCTCGGTAAATGACGGCGACTAAGTGAAGCCTGTCTGAGCACCGGTTGTCCGTCCCAGCAAGTACGGCTGCGAGTTACTTCGCCGTAATCAACATTCAAGTGGGACTGATAATTTAAGCAGGCAATAAATATGCGCAAGCCATACGAGCAAAGTTGGTGAAGTGGAGTGATAACTACCTCCCCGATGCGATGAACAGCGGTCACCTTAAGACTTGTTACTGTGAGCGCTAATGTGGATTGCGATTGCCACAGATATACAAAGGACCTGTTGCTTACTGAAGTGAAATCGATGATAGAAGCATTCCATGAATATGTTGAAGTCAGATGGTTAATCAATTGAGGTGTCATACAACAAATGAATTGAGAGTTCTTGGAATGGGCTGCAGCGTATTACAAAGTTTTTACAAAATGCATGTATGTTATAAAACCTTCACGAGATAATTTTTTAGACGCAATGTATTTGGGGATTTGGGGAAATAAAATTTATTCGAAAAATAAGCTTACATAAAAATTCAAAATTATTTTAAAAACCTACCGGTGACCACATTTTGTTTTTCCTCTGTTCGGGACTTAACACCACTGCGATCAGTAATTTGATCTATTGTAGTATATCCCGTGTCCTTAGTTTAGTGCATGTCGTATTACTCCATCACTATTGAGAAACGATGAAGTATTCGATTTTTTACAGTTGTCATTCTCACATTTATCGCAAGGATCCGACTCTAATTGAAAGGTTCCGCTATTTATACCCTTCGGAGTGTTGAAACACCCTCCAAAGGCGCGCCCCTTTGTCAGTCAAAATTGGATTCCTTAGCAACAAAATTAAGGAATGACACACATAATGACCATGCATCAGAACCCTAGTCTTAACCACTTCAAACTAGAGAACAACGAATAGAAGATTAGGAATAACATAGATGAAGACCATCTTATTTTTTTCTTGTTTCAAGATCATCCAAGACAAAGCCGAGTCTTGTCACTATCAACAAGGACTAAGATGTGTTCCTTGGATTACTGAAAAATCCTGTTCCCCTAGTTTGAAGTAGTCATGACTAGGAATCGGTGGTAGATCTTACCACGTACCACGAAAAGGTGATCTACCCACGTTACGGGGCAAACAGTGACCACATAACAGAAGCTGTTCATGTCACGAAACATTGCAAACTCTGCATACTTTTCATGCAGATCTGTAATAGAATTTTACATTTCGCGGTTGGGTATAAGAGCATTGTTTGTAAAATTAAGAACACAGTCTTCAGTTTTGTGAAGAAAGTTAATGTTAAATTCAAAATTTTCCAAAGGAATATTAAAAGCAAGGCAAATAAAATTTAAAGATTTAAAGACACCCTTCAAAACTGAAAGATCACATTTTGTTATTTTGGTATTCAGTTGACATTTTACAAAATATTTCGATAACTGAATAATATCAAAACAAGGTTTTAGACCACAAGCATACCAAAATCGGATATCATACCACATTAAGGTATTCATTTGATATCGATTAGCTATCGGTTCCTGCTCGGGTATTCGTAGAACATTTTAGAGGTATTATTTTTGGTATTTTACCTCTTATGCCAGCCTCGTCAATACCATATTTAGGTTGCCAGTTATGTCATTTTCATACGCGAATTTGGGTATTTTCTCCTGCTTGGGAATTCCATTCATAAGGTTTTGTACAACGGTTGAATCGAAATTTTTTTCCATGATTTCCTGCTCCGTAGTGACAACTTTAGGATGCTTACATAGATCGTGCTTCATTATAGCCCGGTATCTTTCGATCGGCCGCAACTCCGGTGTGTTTGACGGATTGAGATTCTTCGGAACAAAATTGACCTCGTTCGTCTTGTACCATTTGGCCATTAAAGGTTGTAGTTGTAATAAAAGGCTTGCCCCGTTTTCCGCCCAACAAATCGCCTGTCAAATCATGAATTTCTTGGGGAACTTCGACACTTGCTGTTTCCTGGGGGACTCTGAAACATCGAACTTGTCTTTCGCAGTTACATTCTGCCCTAATAAAATTTTTATGGTTATTTTGTTTAACGACGTGTTCGGGGTATCATCCAAACCATTTGTGGAATCGTTCTGTTATTTGGGTTATCGTTCGTTTATGGTATTTTTTATTATGGTGGTTTCCCGGAATTTGTTTGAAGTTCGCAGCGTTCTAGCTGTCCTATTATGTCGTTCATTGCGGTTTGGTGCTTTCTGAACCTTGAGTGAACGTAGTCCTGTTCGTTTCTTGGCTTTCTGCACGAAACTTGGGTTTGCGAATGAAGGCAGCAACCACTCGCTTCCCGAGCAAGAACGAATATATCCATACCTTAAATTGGTACAGATGAGCCTGAGGTAAAATACCAAAAAAATAACAGGGGAAATGGATGTAATGTCAGCCTATATGCCCCTAATTAATTCCTATATGCCCCTACATAAATTCAGCAATCGACTAAATTTTCAATAGTGACCAAAAATATCCATTAGTACCGTCCCAATAACGCGTTCATCTAGATAAAATTGATAAATAGCAGATTTTTAGCGATGGACCCAATCTTAGATCCATAGGCCAACATTAGAGCCATTTTCCCTACCAAAAAAATGTTCCCACAATACCATTCAAATACCAAATTATGATAATGCAATACCAAAACAATACCACACAGGTATATTGTTGGTATCCAAATATCAATTTTTGTTATGTTCAAAGTATTTTGCATGTAATTTTTTGGTATTATTCTTTGGTGGTTAGCCCTTATGTCATGCTGGTCAATACCATGTCAAAATTAGGTATTAATTAGTTATTTTCTCCTGCTTGGTATGGAACACTTTTTCTTGCACTTACTTGCTTCCGATCGACAGTTAAAGCCGGCGCACAATGGATAAGTTTTCAGGTTTTTGACAGTTAGCCCATGTATTATCTGTCAAAAAACCCGGAAACTTATGCATAGTGCGAAAGCCTTTAAACCAACAATCAATACGAAACTAACGATTTAAAATTGGCTCACTACTTGACTAGCCTATTGATCCCAAGCAAATCGATTAATGTACCCCTTTCTAGTATTTTGTTTTCCTTTAGTAACGAGACTTTCAGCCTTAGGCTGGTTCATCTCATCATTCTAGTATAAATTCCAGTACTACACTATGTTTGTTTTGATTCGTTATGAAAGTTTGACAGATAAAATGAGGGGTGCGTGGATTTTCCTATGTTTCGAGAGGTGCATCGATTAGCTTGGGACCGAAGATAGTACCAGAGCTGAGCCAAAAAAATGAGCTCGTTTCTTCGGGACCTTCTGGTCTTAGAGTTACCTCTATGGTTAAACCACCGACGAACTGACAAGCCACTGGAGCATTTCGTTTGTCCCCAATTCGATTTTTCAAATGAGCGATTCGATCTATCAAACGGGTGATCAGATCTGTCAAACGAGGTGAGACTCAACACCTCAACTCAACATTTTACGCGTGTTCGTGTTCTTGTTCATTATATGACGCGATCTGATGAGTAGATGGCGGTAATATTTAACGCATTTTAAATATGGCGTTTGGGGCAAGAATTTGAATGTAGTTTCTTCAAGCTGTCACGTCGGTTCGTCGGTGGTTAAACGTTCTCCGGAACGTTTTATAACACGAGAAGCAGTACATTGTTGGATTCCCAACATATTTCCGATGGCGTGGTGCGAAAGATGTGGGTTGTTGAAGTGAGTGTGCACAATTTCTCGAGCACGCGCTGTTTCTTCGACTCAATTTTCAAAACTACTAGAAATTTCTAATCTAATCTAATCTAATCTAACACCAACACAGCCAGTTCTTGAAAGCATCCTGAAAAATGATATATATACCTACATCATTTTTCATTTCTATTTGATATATGTTTCACATCGAAGATGCGTCACACACGGCCAGGCCTACTGTGCAGCATTTAAGGGGCAAGATGATTCAGAAAACATCGGGCCTGTTTAAATCGAAGATGTAAACACGATGCTTCAGAATCCAATAAATGGATGAAACGTGGACATCTCGTACCGTACGTTCCGATTTTGGTAATTATATTATTGGTTGGTCGTTGGAAGCATCAAAGCTAGAAAGGTTAAGTGATGCTCCATTTTATTCTGACGGTTGGGGCATGAGCACTAACTCTTGTCCTAGCCTTTTATGACTTATGGCTATAGCGCCATTACTCGCTTTCTGAAAAGAGAAGAGGGAAAGGAAAAGGAGAAGGACAAATGGAAAAGGATTATGTGAAATCTATGAACATAAACAATATTTTTGATTTGAAATATACAATATAGAAATGCATAACGGCGGTGGTCACTACCCGAGTCTTGTCACTAGTCATAAAAAGTAAAATTTATTTTGCCCTTATGCAGGATGGGTACACATTTTTTAATTCCATC